AAGTTGACAACCAAAACACTAAAAATACAAAGCAAAGATCCACTGAAGAAACTAACTTCCTTCCCATGGTGCTTTTTTGAAGTACAGTAGAAGTTTGATGGATTAGTATATATACATGTATTTCCTTGCTCTGCTAAAGCCTCTTGAAACCCTAGAAATGACAAGCAAGAAAAAAACCTAAAGTTCAGATCTGAGTTTCTAATATTTCTCAATTTAAAACGAACGAACAAACAAAGAACCACTCTAGACAAATGGTTCACTATAGGAGGATGACCCTAAAGCTACTTTCTCTTTTCTTTTTTTGGTAGTATGCACTAGCAATTCAAGGTAGGGCCTTAGTACTGAAATACATTTGCAGCCCTTTTTGATTTGTTGTTGATGGTCCCAAACTAGTAATTCTCTTTCCTCCTCTCTCCTGAACTGTTAATAGGCTTGCACCATGGAGCCCAGCTGAGCCTGAACCCAGCTGAGCCTGAAAGGAGGGGGGAGGGGGGAGATCACAAGCTCAAACTCAGCCTATATAACTCAGTGAGTCTCTGTCTCAAAATAACAAAGGGTGGGGAAATACAGCTCAGTGCAAAAGCTCTGGGTTCAACCCCTAGTACTGCCAAAGCAAGATGGAGCAAGAGTAGTGGCACACTCGTAAAATCCCAGCAGTTGGGAGGCTGAGCAGGAGGATCAGGAATAAGGCCAGCCAGGGCTACAAGTGAGTTTAATTAAGGCCATATTAGACTACACAGTGAAATCCTAATTCAAAACCAACAAAGCAAGCAAAGTGGAGGGATGACTGGAAGCATATTGAAGAATACAAGAATCAAGTATAAAAGCTTCCAAAGGGTAAAACTGGGACACTCTGAGCATCAATCATACTGATATAAAGAAAAGACGAATCTCCCATACTGAAGAATTTCAAATTTTCTGTAGAGACTGCCTTAAGGTAGTGAATAAATAGGGGGCTGGGGATTTAGCTCAGCGGCATAAGTGCCTGCCTTGCAAGCAGGCAGTCGTGAGTTTGATCCCTGGTACCGACAGAAGTGAAAAAGATTAAAAAAAAAAAAAGGTAGTGAATAAATAAGTTCTTACTCCTTAAATGTTAAAGATTAAAAAAAAAAGGTAGTGAATAAATAAGTTCTTACTCCTTAAATGTTGGCTACAGTCATCTTCCTCTCAAAATATAATGGGACATGGGAGGGGGTTAACAACTTAAAAACCTGACAAGCTCTACCTGTTATTATTAAGTTCCTACTGATGAAGACTTCATCTAGCAAACAGAATGTTGATAGCACTTGCTCTAAATATGATACAATAAAAACGGCACTTCACCTTTGTCATCTTGCTCCCCAAAACAAGTAACAATGAGGAAAACAATAGATAAATCCTAATGGAGGCAACTTTTTAAAAATACCTTACCTATTCTCAAAAATTCCATGGAAATCAAAAACAATTCCAAGAAACTGAAACTGTCAGTCAAGAGGAACTTAAGGCAGTGTGACAAATGTAATGACATTCTAGGTGAGATTTTCGGAATAGTAAAAGCTAAGAACATATGATTCACTAGTTACAACAAATGTATCATACTAATGAATAGGAGACCGAGTGTGGAATATATGAGGACTCTCACCTTCCCAATTTTGCTATAAATCCAAAATCATTCCAAAAAAATAAATTTTAAAAGTAACAGTGTGACAAAAAAATGTTGAATACTGGTAATATTACATGTGATTTGAATATGGTTTATCCCCTCTGAAGTTTGTGTTGGTAGTTTAATCCCCATTGTGACAAACTACGAATGTAGGTAGGTACAGTGTACTTCTTCCAATTATTCAAATGGCTGAGGCAGGAGGGCTGCTTAAGCCACTTTCCCAGCCTGGACAACGTAACTAGACCCCATCTCTTAAAAATAATGAATGTGGATAGAGGCAGGTGTGGCTGTCCATGCCTATAATACCAGCTACTCAGGAGGAAGAGGCAGAAGGATAGTAAGCTGAAAGACCATCTGGGCAACTTAGCAAGACTATTTCGAAATGAAATGAAAAACCAACAAACCAAAAAGGAAATGTAAAAAGGTAAGGATGTAGTTCAGTAATAGAGCATATCTGCCTAACATATGCAAGGTCCTGGGTTCAATCCCTAACATCTAACATGGCAGCAAATAATGTACAGACTTACTTTATAAGAGAAAGATCACACACACTGCCTATCTCTTGCCCCAAGTCACTTTGAGATTGAAGCAAAAAAAGTCATCACCAGTCAACATTTTTTAACCAAAAGTGAGTCAAAATATTCTTTTCCTTATAAGTTACTCTCATCTGTGGTACCATATTTTGTGTATGTGTGGTACAAGAAAAACTCCAGACTATAGGAATCTGTACAAGATATGAAATGAATAGGTAACATAGGCAAAATGGCATGTTGGCTTTCAGTGTTTTAAACAGCAATGTAACAGAAGTGGTTGTTTTGAAAACTCTACAAAGGATGAAACCACACAGCTCATCACTGTAGCTAGCCCCAGGACTTAAAACAGCACTTGGCTCCACTGCAGGTTCTAAGTGAAATATTTGTTTAACAGAAGGAGGAAGGGACGAAAGGAAGGAGAGAGCACACCACATGAAGCACTGTTAATAGTTCAATGATGCCAAACCTTTGAGACATAAGCACCCAAAATGCAGCACAAAACCCACTTATTTATCACAAAATATCAACACTGTAATTTAATCTCAACAGAAATACATTCATACATTAACATCTTCTGTCTTAAAAGAAAAACAAGTAACATGTATGCCATAGGTTTGCCACCAGTCTAGTTTGTATGTCTTAATTCCCTCTGTCATTGTAAATCCTCTCCATTAATTGACTATACCAAGGAAACAATTATCAAAATACTAGCTTTGAAAATGACTGCCTGGGGGCTAGGGATTTAGCTCAGTGGCATAAGCACCTGCCTTGGAAGCAGGCAGTCGTGAGTTCGATCCCGGTACCGGTAAAAAGGAAAAAGATAAAAAAAAAAGAAGAAGAAAAAAAGAAAATGACTGCCTGATTGTTCATAATGTTCTAAAAAACATTTTCCCAGATTTTGCAGGCACCCATAAGTAACTCTGCCTTCTCTTCCAAAAAGATGTCAAATAATGGCAGTGCTAACTGGCCCTGTGACAGGCGACGTTCAGCATGAAAGCTTCATTTTCATTTTTCTCCAGGATGCCGACTATGATTTAACCTGTTGATCAATTTCATCTGTTCCTCTTACTAGGGATTTCTTTTTTTCACCCAAGAAAAAAGTCAAATTTGTATTCAGATGCAGAAGATATTTTAAATTAGGTAGTTTTTCTTTAGTTTATTAAAACAATAAATCCTGCTAAAATATTCCCTAATAATGAACTAACTATATTTCCTGACTGAATTTGGTAGAGGTATTAATTTTACTATATGGTCATAATCTTATTCACTGTAACTCAGATTTTCATCAGTGTTGGTGATGCTAATGTGTTTTTTTTTTTTTTCGTTTTTGTTGTTGTTTTAATCGGTATGGGGATCGAACTCCAGACTGCCTGCTTGCAAGGCAGGTACTTATGCCACTGAGCTAAATCCCCAACCTCCATTTTTTGTTGTTGTTGTTTTTCGTGTTTTTAACATCAGTGTTAAACTAAATTTAAAAAGCCAACCGGGACCTTTTCTCCTTTATGGGCCAACTTAGGTAACAACAAAATTTTATATTCCTTACAGTTTTAAATAATTCATCAATGTAACTTTTAGTTTTTGTGATAAAACCTTAAAGCTAGTTTTCTCAAACTCTCCTATTCATACAAACATTTGTATTTTTCCAAATACAAAATTACTGTACCTCTATTTGCATTTTCATAAATTTTATTCACAATTTTTTGTCTTGAAAACACTTTGAAAAACTGAGTCTAGGTACCAATATCCCTACTGAGTAAACAAAAATGATATGCAGAGACAGGAAAAATCTGGGCATGATGGTATACACCTGGAATCCCACCACTCTTGAGGTTAAGGCAAGAGGATGGGGACCTACCGTGAGTTCAAGGCTGGAATGAAGTTGTACCAAGACCCAGTCTCAAACAAACAAACAAAATAAATAAATAAATAAAAATAGAAACAGATGAAACAAAATTACCAATTTCTTGAAGTACGATTTGAAAAAGTTGCTAGATTCAAAGACCTGACTGTACGTCTATGTGTCAGTAAATAAACTATTACTTTAAATGATGAACTTTTACAACAACTTCAACAAAGCTATCAGAAATAAATTAAGATATACAAAGACAACACTCATTAAGATCAAAGATTGAGGGCTGCAGATAAAGCTCAGCTGCCTAGCACCTGTGGGGCAAGCAGGAGGCCCCAAGCTGGATTCCCAGTACTCCCCAAAGATTTAAATTTATGCAGTGCCCTATCATGTCCATGAATTAAAAGACAATATTGTAAAGACATCAATTCTCAAAGATGGTCTATAAATGCAGGCCCCACAGATAACCCAACAAATTACAGAGTATTGACAAGTTGACTGCAGAAGTTTTAACTGTTAAGTATTAACCCAAGAAACCAAGAAACCCCTGAGGAAGAATCAAATTTGGGAGAAAGAATAAAGATTAAAAAGTACATAAGGCTAAGTACTTAGAACAATATGGGTTCAGGGATAAACAGACCAATGGAACAAAATGAAAGGCAGCTCGGCAATATCCCATGAGTAGACAATCAGCACTGTATTCCTGGGTAGAAATTTCTAGAAAAACTCCTGAGCATGTGTACCAGGATACTCCTAAGTATCACTGTTAATTGTGGCGGAGCTACACAGTGTTTATTATTCTTTAAACTGTACGTGTACATTTTATACATGCTATTATACAGTTCAATGATTTTTAAAAGTTAAAATAGAAACATCCCAATCTTTATTTGCAAATGCCAAAGTTTACTTATTCACAACATCCAGAAGTAAACAAACATCTATATTCTAACAACCAACAAGTCTGAAGACAACATACCTTATATAGTCCAAAGCCAGGATCAATAAGACAAGTACGAGTTGATGTAGACGGCTGACCTGCAGATCCCGCCCTTGAAGTTTTCTTTACTTTAGGTGGACTGTTAGAACAGGGTTTAGTCTGTACATCAGTCTGTTTAGATGTACTAGGAAGATCAGGATCTGGACGAACTAGTAACTGAATTATATCATTCAGCCCAACATCGTAGTCAAATAAGGTATATCCATTTTCCAGCTAGAGAAAAAGAAAAGAAAAATGTATGAAACACTTCTCTCAAAATTTTTCTTTATACATCCTTAGTTGCCAAAATGTCCAAGCCAAACTATTAAAATTATGGACTCCAATAAATTCTAAGAACTACTGCACATTAGCTACTCTGCTAACCATTAAATAAAAAAAAAAAAATGTATCGTTGCCACTGTGACCTCACGACCTAGCCAGAAAAACTCTAAACTAGATTTAACTTCTCACTGAATTTTACTTTGATAAACAATGAATTCACTGCGGGGGGAGGGTGAATTTTGAAAGCAAGTTGCTTCAAGACCTTTTGTTCAAAGTCATTGAGTCCCCTACTTTAGCTTTCTGAACTGTTAATTTTTTAAAAAACTAAGTAGAAAAAGCTATCAAACAAGGAATAATTATTACTTTGCATATACTACAGTTGTATTCCACTGCCTCAAATTCTCTCCACTTCTATCCAATGCAAAGATTATCAAGTTTTATTACAAAGACCTCTAGGATGAATAGTAAACAAATTACTTTGTACCGTGACCATATTTTAAAAGGGTTTTAAGACAAACTGTGTCTCCCCAAAAAGGTATGTTAAAGTCTTAACCTAGAGTACCTCAGTGGACTGTGGTATATAGCTCAGTGAAAAAATACCTGCTCTGCATGCTGAATGCTTGGATTCAATTCCCCAGTCCTTAAAAAAAATTTAAAAAGTATCCCAGAAATGGCCTTGTCTGGAAATAGGACCAGAGATGGTAATCAAGGAATACATTCGACTCAAGAAATGTAAAATCTATTGTTATAGGTGGAGTTTTGCCTCCAAAAACTTATATCCTGAAATCCCAACCTCAGTACTACTTAGGATCTTTAAAGACAGGATCTTTAAAGGACTAATTAAGTTATGAGGTCATTAGTTAGGTCCCTAAGTGACTTTAGAAAGAGAATTGTGGACAGAAAACAAATATCACAGAAATACCCAATGGGAAGATTCACGGGGATAAGGAGGCCCAGTGACTGAAGTAGTGTATCCTCAAACTAAGAAACGAGACTTCCTACAAACGCAGACCCATAAGGAAGGATTCTTCTCCTAGAGTTACTGGAAAGCTCATCCCTGCTGACACCAGGCATTCCAGCCCAGCGTCCAGAACAGAGACAAATTTCTGTGGGTTTTGTTGTTGTCGTTGTTTTGCATTTGTTTTTGTTTTGTTTTTTGGTTCCAGGGATAGAACTCATGACCACTCCAAGACAGGTGCTTAAACCACTGGGCTAAATCCCAGGCCCAAATTTCTGTGGTTTTAAGCCACCTAGGATTTTGATACTTTGATACTATACCCTAGTATCAAAATCTCCACTTTGTTTCCTTATTTAAAATAATTCAGTTGGCCATTTCAATGAAACAAGAAAACTAAACTCTACTTAAAGTTCGAAATTAGCACTTCCCTGGAAACAACCAGTCAAACACTCATTTTTCCCTTTATACCTAATGTTTATCACTATTTACAACTCTGTAACATAGAAAGATTCTTGAGAAATCAAAGGAAAAAAGTCTACCCTATAAGCTTATTGATGTACTAGACTAGGAAGTTTATTTCTAGTGGTCTCAGAATACACCTAGCATACTCCCACAATTACGAGTATTTGACCTGTTAAAAAAGGATAGGGGCTGGGGGCTGGGGATTTAGCTCAGCGGCATAAGCGCCTGCCTTGTAAAGCAGGCAGTTGTGAGTTCGATCCCCGTACTGATAAAAAGGAAAAAGACAAAAAAAAGGATAGGGGCTGTGGGGATTTAGCTCAGTGGCATAAGCGCCTGCCTTGCAAGCAGGCAGTCATGAGTTCGATCCCTGGTACCGATAAAAATGACAAAGACCAAAAAAAAAAAAAAAAAAAGGATGGAGAATTTTACAAATTTCCTCATGGAGAAATTAAAGTAGATTCAATCTCACAGGTTACTATCCCAAGCCTAAAAATGTAGGCTCATGGTAGACTGTGGCACTAGGAACTAGGCCCTGGATTTGATCTTCAGAGACATACAATTGTATATACATGCAGCCTAAGCAAGGAATTTGGCACATTCCTAAACTCGGCCTCTAACAGGTTTCTACCACATGACTGGCAGGACTTAAAACAAGTTTCCTCAATTGATACCTCTTCTAAACGTGGTTTGATAGCAAAAACAGAGTGGAACTCTAAACATACAAAACCGTTAAGCGGGTAACAAAAGCTGTAACTAACTTTCCTCACGCCTGCTACGACAGACTTTTTCCCCAATTACCCACTCATTCTTAATTCTAGGTATTCTTCCAGTCTTCCTTAAACAGTCATTATTGCCCATGACACCCAAGTTCCACACAGCTTTACTCTGCCAAGCCTCACAGATTATGGATAGTTACTAAAGAGTGTTGCAATAATTTACTTGAAGAGGATAAAGTTCCACATCTAAGCCAACAGTAGGTTCCAAGTCATCTGTCAAATTACGCTGGCTAGGGAGAAAGAGATGACATCATCTACAAATTACACACACCTATGAGCGTCAGGCACCTTAACTGTAATCCATCTATGTTTCATAGAGGGAAATGAGAACCATCATATTATTTAGGGATATAGGGTTTTCAATTCTGGCAAAGCCTGTTATAACTTTGTTTGCACTTGACTTTTTAGAGGATTGAAAGAAAGTTGCAAAAAGAGGAAGAAGGACAATGATCCAAGGAAAACTAGGAAGAAAAAATAAAGTGAATGTTCAAAAAGGCAGAGGGGGAAGTCATTCCCAACAACACACACATTCTTTTAAATAAGGAAATACTTTTACTTTTCACTCCAGGTGAGCAAGTACAGAGAACAAAAGTAACTCCTCTGTTTTTCTCTTGTTATGGTTCAGTCTATCAAGGCTAGGGAAGAAAAAAAAAGGGGGGGGGGATACTTTCAAAGTAATAAGACCTCTCTAGATTCTCAAAAGATTTAGAGATCTACCAACATTTGTCTTCTCTAAGAAGATCCAGCAGGGTATGGTGGTACATGCCTGTAATCCCAGAACTCCCAACACGTAGGAGGCTGAGGCAGGAAGATTGAGTTTGAGGCCAACATGGGCTACACAGTGAGACCCTATCTCAAAAAAATAAGAGTCCCAATTCCACAGTGTCTCAAACTCAAATCTTCCAAACAACAGTGTCCAAACTAGGTTACCTTACTCTTATAGTACTGACATGCTAGCTGCTATTTTGACTCAAAGATGTAATCATAACATGGATTCTTAAACTGCATATAGACAACCTGAAAACCTCATCCAAATAGAGATTCTGCTTCCACATACCTGTTAGGTGATATCCATGCAAAACTAACAAAGCTTATCCTACAAAGCCAGGAAAAATACTTTGAATAGCAACAAACTAGTAAGTGACTATCCTCTCAACATTCATTTAAAATTTGATGTTTACCAGAATCTTCTGTGGGGTATTGTTAAATTCATCTGTGTACTTGCAATTTTGGTGAGCTAAGCATCTATAGGAAATTCAAAAGTGATTCCAGCACTTGTGAGGTGGAGGCAGGATTGTTGAGAGTTTAAGACCAGCCTGGGCTACAAAGCGAATTCAATGCCAGCCTGAACTGCATAGTGAGACCTGTCTCAAAAACACAGCCGGGTGTGGTGGCGTCCTGTAACCTCAGGAACTTGGGAGGCTGAGGCAAGAGAATCATTTGCAAGTTTGAGACCACCCTGGGCTACAAAGTAAGACCAAGGCGTGAACTTTGTGGTTAGACCCTGTCTTATGGATCTCACACACAAAAGATTAAAAGCAACAGCGATAACTGAGTGAGGTTTTTAATTTACTTTTTTGAGAAAGGAGTGTTACTATGTTGTCCAGACTGGTTAGTCTGAACTCCAAGGCCCAAGAGATACTCCTGTCTCAGCCTCCTTGAGTAACTGGAATTACTCTGGTTCACATAAATTCATTTTTATTTATGGTATGTCTCAGCATGTGGCAATAAAATGTCTTGAAAAATTGGGTACCTTTTCCCTAATTAGCACAAAGGCATTTACAGGATAGAGACAGCTCTATGACTACGCTCTCTATGAAGAAACGGAGATACAGTCAGTTCATAAGAAAGTGAACACAGCTGGAAGCAGTGTCGCCCTTTCTCCAAGTCAATGGCTGGCAGCAAAGGTCTATTCCTCATGTTTAATGGTTTAGCACTAAGGGTGAAAAATAAAAAACAAAGTAGTGAATTATCTACTGTACTGGAAGAGGTACAAAGGTTGTTATCCTTAAAGTTTTTCCCAGAATCTGAAGCAGCGTCCTGCTTTTACCAGAAATCTACTTTGTGGCCTTCAATTTAACTCAATTCCTCAAGGCAGCCAGGTGCATATTTGATAATTAGATTTTCAGGTGTTGCTCTGGAATACATTCTCAATCCTTCATTTTTACCTCTTAAAAGTCATCAAAGTTTCCTAGGAACTAACATACTATTGTCCCTAACCAAAAACCGGAAATACACAAAATTTGATTGAATGGACTTGTGACCAAAAGGAGAAAAAGTGGTAAGTCACTTGAGACACAGCGATACAAACCTACATAGTATTTAATAATTAATTTCAAAAACAAAACTTGACAACTAAATTGAACAAATGCTTTTATGTAAATCACAAACACTAAGAAATCAGTATAAAACTAGTTATAAACATGAGACAAAGATACTGAAACATTTTTTAAAGGGAAAACCGCAAGACAAGCCAAAAAAAAAAAATACCCAGGTGGTTCATGCCTAGGATTCCAGCATATTAAGAGGCTGAAACAGGAAGATCCCAAATTCTACCCAACCCTGGGCAATCTAACGATTTAGTAAAAACCTGTCTCAAAACAAACAAAAATAAATCACAAAGGGCTGGGGATAATAGGTCCACAAGGGCCTTGGGTTCAATTCTCAGCACTCTGATAAATAAAATGTCCTGGGCCTCGATCTTTCCTACAGAATTTGTTACGTACTGATACATCAACTCCTGGAAGTGTGAGAAAACTTTTTCCTTCCAAAGCATCTGTGGCTTGTGAACTACATCAAAATGAATTCCATTTATTTCAAACCTCAGAATTGGTGCCAATCTGTGATCCATTAACTGTAGGATACCCACTTTTTAAGTGGATTAACAAGACAAAAAGTACAAAGACAAGAAAAATATTAGTCTAGGTGTCTACGTATAAACTGTAAGACATTTACATTTACCAATTATTACACTAGTCTTTATCATAGAACTACTAGAGAATCCCACATACCCCTCACAACTAAAAACACTTTCGGCTTTTAAATTACCACTGGTTATGCTATAGTAGTGGCATTAAAAAGCTTGAAAATGGGGAATATTGTTGGGTGCGGAGGAAAAAAAACGCTCTGGGTCTAAATCCACGGACGTACATGCTAGGCCTTTTTAAGCTCACCTTAGGTTACACCAACTTCCAGGTCTCGCCCAAGACAGACTTCAAACCCAGTAGAGGTGCTAATGGAGAGGTGCTAAACGTTCTGGAATCCTTTCGGATCTCAGTGTCTGCAGGTCCTTCCATAAAGAGGTGACAGGGCTAAGGTTCTCTGGCGCCTGAACGCAATGCCTGAGTTTCCGTTTCCTATCTAGGAGCCGGGCCGCCGAACAGCCACGGAAGCGAGCCGAGTCCTTGGCCCGGTGCACGGAGCCGAAGCCAGTGCGCCCCTCCCGCGCTGTAGCATGGCTGCCAGCGTCCGCTACCTTCCCCACCCTCCCGCGTCCCCCGGTTCCGCTGAGCGCGGGAAGCGGGGCGCATAGGGCCCTTTCAGGCTGTGTTAGCAACCGGCGGCCCGCTGGGAACACGGCGAGCTCCCCGCGTCCGGTCGCCCTCACCTCTGAGCCCCGCTAGCCGCACCTGTGACCAGAGCTGGCGGGGATCCCCTGCACCGCTCCTCGCAGGCCTGGCCCCTTGGCCTCCCCTCCGGAGCTGCCGGCCCTCGAGCCCACGCGCCGGGAGCATCCGGCTGCTGGCGCCCCGGGCGCGCCTCACCTGCTTGCCTCGGTAGAAGAGGCGCTGGCACTCGGGCCGCACGTCGAACAGCGCCCAAACCCGCTCGCGTAGCTCCTCAATCGTGGCTTTGCGAGAAACGTCCTCGATGGTGCGCGTCTGGGAGCCGTCGATGGTGCGAACCTGGATCCACATCGCGACTCAGGAGAGGGGGCTGGCCGCCTTTGTCTCCCCCTGTGCTCGGGACGCCGCGCCCCGGGCGGCCCAGGTTCTCCGCGGCGGACAGGCGAGCGCGCGCACAGGAGGTAGAGACCCACAGATTCCGGCCCGACTGGCGGCGGTGGCGCCTCCCAACCCGCGCGCGATTGCCTAGCCCAGTAGAGAAAGAGAAAGAATCGGAACCAGCCGTAACAGAAGTCTCGCCTCCCAAACAGCAATAAGCCTAGTCCAGGCGGCGCAGAGTGTTTACTTATAGAGCAGTAGCTCCCACATGGAGGTCACGGCGCCAAGCCTGATCTCGCGAGACCCACGCAGGGCCCCGCCTTTAAGAGGAAGCGCGCGCGGGGAGGTGGTTACAGAACCGAGGATGCTAAAATAGGCGCTGAGAGGGCGGGACGCAGGGCGGGGCTGCAGAAAGCCGTTACTCGCCCACAGCCGAGCGCCAACCCTGGGGCTCTGCGCTAGCCCTCTCGCCTTTGGGTTTCCGGCCGTTTTAGGGTCGCGCCCAGAGGCTGCACTTCGACCTGATCGCAAGAATGGAGGCGAGCAAGACCTCAGGCCTAGCCTAGCCTCGGGTCTCTGGTCTCAAAATCACACCAAACATAAGTAACCTTAATGTCGCCCGTGAGAGGGGAGGCACAGGCGAAAGTCTGAGACAGCGCGGAAGGAAGCGCGCACATTCCACCCGGCCACGCGGCCTGGCGGGACGGGGCACCCGCTTGGCAGCGCGTTTCGCTCGCGGCCCAACCGCTGCCTTCGGTCGGAAACCCGCCTCGGAGTTTCTCGCCCCTGGGTACAGGTGGCCGCCACGGGGTCCTGCTGATGTCGCCCTCGGGCCCGCAGCGTCCCAACCCGGGCCTCGGGCGGCGGAGGCCTCCACCGCCCCTGAGCCGCCCGCCCAGAGACCCTTCCGTTTCCGCTCGCCATCTTCCCGCCAGATCCGCCTTGGGCCTAAGGGGCTGCGGGTTTGCGGGGAAACCGGCTCAGTCACTCGCTAGAAGGACTCGAAGCACCGTACTGCGGATGTAGTCTGGGAAATAGCCTACCCCACTGCTCAACACGGGGCCCGCTTAAGAGACAAACACGCCTTCCTGAGAGAGGAGAAGGCGTACCAAAGCAAAACAAGTTGCACCTATATTTGCCCAAATTGGTGACTTAAATATTCAGCCCGGTACTTAATCGTGACCATAAAAAGGAAAGCATTTTTGTAGTAACATTAAAATACTGTAATTACAAACAGGCAAGGTCAGTAGTATCGTTCTACTGAAAGAAAAAAAATCCCAACACGGGAGCAAAAAAAAAAAAGGAAATATACATAAATAATTTTAAGTCTCTGCCTTTCCTGAAAATTTCACATTCAACCAGAAACTATAATCCATCTTGTCGTCTCAGATGTAACTAAAGCAAATGCTGAGTATTAATTACGTTTGTAAATGAGATGGTAGATGTACCTAAAACACATTTCTGATCTGCCCCAAGAATTGATACCTATTTGCAATTATAAAGTTATGTCTCTGTGTGTTATAACATCTCTTTCCAGTTCAGTGCTCACAAAGAATTTACAATTTAGTTGAGATAAGAGTTAGCAAAAATATCTAAAAAAAAAATAATACTAAACATTCTAGTGATGGTTAGAGCTTCTATTAGAGATACCAAAAGAGGGATTAGGTTTATCAGGAAGCTTAAAAATAGGTGTAGGACGTGGCCTGAGTGAGATGGTGTATTTTAATCGGTGGCAGTATTTAAGTATGTTGAGTTTTTGGATTGAGATTGACCAGAATTGTAATCCTAGCATTGCTGCTTATTTAAAATATGATCTTGAACAAATTTTGTGTTTCAATTTCCTCCTTGTAAAAGAGCACTCAGCTCATACCGCCTAATGAATGGAAAGTGCTTAGCTTAGTACTTAGTATTCCTCAGTAGTACACAATAAAGTATTTAACTATTGCTATGAAGATTATGTAAACAGAATTTTCAAAGAAGAGGGAATACTTCAAGACAGCACCTACAGTATGTATTTTTATGGATCAGCAGAGGCTGCGTATCAGAGAAAAAGTGATTAAATCCAGAAACACAGAGAATGAAAATTAGCATTTGGAGTAGTAGATTTCTGTAAGCCTCAGGGAGAAACAATTGTTTTTAAGAGTTCATTGTTGTGATCAAAGGATTACAATTTGAAAAGACAACAGAAGCTGTGCAGAAGAATGCAGAATGCCTTAAGGGAAAAGTAAGGAACCAGGAGATGTGGAAAAGAGATTGTTGACTGAAAGACTGGCTGAGAAGCAATTGTGTCTATTTTGGCCAAAATTAGTCGCAGTAAATAGGAAAGGAAAGAATGTGTTCTGGATACTCTAGAAAACTGAGCTTCCAAGACTTTAGCATATTTAGATGAGGGATGAGGAAAATAGAATGTTGACAGTAACTCTCATATGGCTAGGACACTTAAATGGATGGATTAAGTATATGGCACTCCTAACAAAAGTAGTAGAGGAAGCAAGCTAGGGGAAAATGCTCTGAATTTCATTTGTTTTGTCATACTTGAAATGCATCCAAAACATACAGTACTTAGGTCAGAGATGTCATAGAATTGAAAATATAAGTCCAAGACATTAAAGAGAAGTAGAAAAGCTCTAAGAAATAGATTGACCAAGACTTAACACTCTTTCCTGTGAAATTTATCCTACTAAATATGGTGGGGCTTTAGTGGAACAATTAAAACTTTGGAGACTTGAAGGAATTGGGATCGACTGGGAAAGGCACAAAGGAATCTTCTGAGTGATGAAAAAAGTTTTGGGAAATAATAGTGACCATGGGAATATGGATGCAAAAATTTCTTGAACTATATATACAGGTATGATGTGTTCGCTTTATGAATATCATAGGTTTATGTATGTGTACATAGTTACATGGTTATATAGAGGTTCTTCTTAGAAAAAGTGGGCTTTGAAATTTGTGCTAATGATTAATGAACAAATGAAAGCATAAATTCTATCTTGCATTCTATAGGGATAAAGAGTATTATTCTTCCTCCTTTCAGAGAGTAATTAGAAGTTCAGTGTAAGAATGTGATCAGTCAAAGGTAAAGAAAAATTAAATTTAAAATCTATAAGTTGTAGCCAGTTGTGGTGCTACACACCTGTAATCTCAGTGCTTGGGAGACTGAGACAAAAAGATTGTCATGGTTTGAGGCCATCCTAAACTATATAGTGAGTTCAAGACCAGCTCCAATACAAAGTGAGACCCTGTCTCTAAAAACCAAAAAATAAAGTAAAATAAATTTCAAAGTTATGGATGGGTTTGGTGGGACATACTTGTAAATAGCCAGTATTGTAACAACAACAACAAAATACTACAGGTTTTGCAGTTAAGGATGTTGAAGAAAATGTGATCTGGTTTTGGAAAGATATGGTATTGTGTGTATGCATGTAAATGCATAGTTGTGTGTAAGTATGCATTTGTACAAGTGCACGAGGATATTTATCATGCTTATAAATGTGTGCTGTATGTGCATATGTAATTCATGCATGTGTGCTTGTGTGTGCACACCTATGTTTTCCACTACCTCCACATAGAAAGAGTGAGAAAGTATATTTTCTTTTTCCATTAGCAAAGTGCATGATGAAAAAGTGTATGATTTGAATCCCCAAACCTGAAACTTTCATGCAGTTTTTCTAGAATATAATAATGAAATTTTGGGGAAATGTTCAGTTTCAGGTGAACTGCCCTAGGAGAGGTTTGGGCACAAAGCCTACAAGTACATCAGTCCTATCATAGAGAATAGCTTATTTGTAAGATCATTCTACTAAGGCTAAGGGTTCAAAGAGTGAGCTTTGAAGAAAGAAGGTAGGAGCAAGTCTAAAAACTATGGCACTTACCTGAGCAAGCCCTTTTGAAAGGCATGTTTCTTTTCCTTTGAACCCATACCTCATACTTTTCTATACTTTCTCTTACATTGAAATTCACTCTACCTCTTCAACTTTTCAGAAATGTGTAGTACCCTTTTTCTAGTCTCATTAGTCATGTGATAAAAGCAGTAAGCAGAGAATTAAGAGAGAAGGCAGTAAATAGCAGAGCATTACCTACCTCATCTCTACCCTAAAGCTGATTATAAGTAGAACTAAGTAGTGAGAAGCAGGAAGATGGGAAGCCTAGAATTCACAGACCATGAAGTGGCAGGGGGAGCACCTAACCCCTTCAGGTGAGGCAGGAGTAGAAAGTGGGGAAAAGTAAGCTTGTTTTATGGTGTGGTTTAGGTTCTTTGTACTGTAAAGGAACATATGAATGAGAAAATAGGTGAGAACATGACCTATAGAATTTTTATATATATTGAAAATATCCCACGTGTGTAATTTTAAAAAGACAGAGCCAAAATATGTATTTTTATTTAGCTTTCTGAGATCATGAAATTGTGGGAGTAAACTAAGGCAACACATACTTTTTTTAAAGAAGTAGCTGAGCATGTTGGTGCATCCTTTGATCCTAGCATTCTGGAAGGCTGAGGCAAGTGGATCACAAGTTTGAACCCAGCTGGGCAACTCAGCAATTTAAGCAAGTTTTTGTATCAAAAAATAAAAGTGGTCTGGGGATATAACTCAGGATAAAGGTTCTGAGTTCAATCTCCAGTCCAAACAGAATGATAGAAAGAAAAGAGGAGTGACACCTAAAATACATTCCTAGATGTTTCAACTATTCTGAATTAGTCATAAACCAGTGGAAGAAAATTCACTAGTTAGTAATGAATATTGGTGGGGCAGTGGTTGTAGCTCAATGGTAGATCTCACACCTAGTATTTACAAAGTACTAGGTTCCATTACAAACATAGAGGAAAACAAATGTAATTGAAATTGGTGAATGGTAGATATCTTCAACAATGTAATCCAAAGTCGAGAAGTGTGCTAAATGAACTGTTATTATCAAAAGAGGGGGAAAATCCACAAAGAAAGTGAATGTGATTGAGTTATAACCTTTCATATTTTTTCATTGAATAACTTCTATGATAATCAACTCACTATCAATCACAAAAGAAGCCATAGAATATTTATAAACATCTGGAAACTTAACAAAATACTCTTGAACTTCATTTGGTCACAGAAGAAATCAAGGAAGAAATTAAACAATTCCTGGAATTAAACAATGCTAGTACAAAACAACAGAATATATGGGGCACAATGAAAGCTGTCCTAAGAAGCAAGTTTATGATTAGTCAGTGATCACATAAAAAAAAAAGAGCAACCACAAATAACCTAAGTATCTTGAACCTCAAGATAATCAAAAGACAAGAATCCCAACCTTAACCAAATTTAAGGAGGGAAAT